TTCTTTTTTTAAAAGAATTTCTATTTGATTTTGTTTGATTGCTTCTTGCTTTCTAAAGAGAGAGATAGAAAGAAAGGATATAGAGTTGAGAAAGTGGGTAGGATATGGGGGAGGGGAAAGCATGATTAGAATATATTGGACTATAAAAAAATTTTAAAATAGGTTAAAGTTAGAAAAATTTTTATTTGGTACCATGCAAAAAAAAAAAAAAATGCCAAAATGAACCCTCCCAACAGCAGTGTGCTGGCTAATTTTAGGTCCATTTGACATAGTCTGGGGTCATTTTGAAAGAGGGAGCCTCAACTGAAAAATGTCCCCACCAGATTGGCCTGTGTGTGGGCAAGCCTGTGGTGCATTTTCTTTACTGATAACTCATGTGGGAGGGCATAGCTCACTGTTACCAATGCCACTCCTGGGTTGGTGGTCTGGATGCTACATATAAAAAAGCAGGCTGAGCTGGGCGTTGGTGGCACACGCCTTTAATCCCAGCACTCAGGAGGCAGAAGCAGGTGGATCTCTGTGAGTTCGAGGCCAGCCTGGTCTACAGAGAGAGTGCCAGGATAGGCTCCAAAGCTACAGAGAGAAACCCTGTCTCGAAAAACCAAAAAGCAGGCTGAACAAGCCACGGAGAGAAAGCCCCTTAACAAGAGCTAAGAGTGCTGTGAAACATTAAGCTTTCGGACAAAGTTTTAATTTCTACCTTCCTTCACACATTTCTACCCTTTTTAGGATAGTGTACTATCCAGAAATGATGTTTTAATAACTGCTGTAAAATATATGAAACCATCCATAAACCACGATAATGTAGTTCAGCATCAGAACTCTTAGCAAGCATGTACAGGAGAGACCCCGCTTCTGTCTCCAGCATGGCCCACCATAACTAATGTAACAAGTATAAGTGCACCAGCAGCATCGATAACACCATGGACTGTGTCAAACTGAAAGCTCTTGGGTGCCAGATGTCCCAGATCAGGAATGCTGAGGGGGCTGGGAGGGCAGTAACCTAGACATTCACAGTTCCTGAGGGGATTTGGATCTGAACTGCGTTGTAAGAATCCTCAGCTAGACAGATGGGTCAAGGAACTTGTTGTTAGCAATATTTCTAAAAGAAATACATTCTTAAAATGTCGCAACTCATTTTTCTTCAACTGTGGCTAGAAACCTTTCTAGAAGAAATAAAATGATCTTGGGCTACATAGATGACTTGGAGATTAAGAGCACTGTTGATCTCTCGGAGGATCCAGGTTTCATTCCCAGCACCCTATGGCGGCTCACAATCCTCACAATTCCAGTTCCAGGGGCTCCAACACCCTCTTCTGGCCTCCAAAGGTACCCTGCACGTGGTGCACAGACAATACACACAGGTAAAACATTTATAAGCATAAAATGACTTAAAATATATAATTTGCAAACAAAGCAGTCATTAGCTTTTATTTCCTAATCAAGAATTATTAATAGGCTTTAAAAGGAAAAAGGAAACACACTATCTGACTTTTCATGTGGCCAATAATATATTAAATCTTTTGTTTTTTTTAATCAAGGGTTAGGGTTCTCTACCTGAAATGAAAGTGAAGCATGACAAACATTAGCAAACAATTATTATCACAGCACATAATGCACCACAGGGGAATTATTAGCTCTCTGGGATCAAAAGTCAACAGAGAGAATGCTCCTTGCACTATCCTTGATGCTGTCCTGTATTAACCCAGAGTGGCTCTACCTTTTCTGAATGTCTCTTTACTTTGCACCCAACACCTTCTGAGTACCTTTTTTAGAAGGACAAGGGATCTAGTAACTGAGAAAGAAAAATAGCAACAAAGCCAGGTGGTGGTGGCGCATGCCTTTTGTCCCACCACTCAGGAGGCAGATGCACGCGGATCTCTGTGAGTTCCAGACCAGCCTGGTCTACAAGAGCTAGTTACAGGACAGCCTCCAAAGCCACAGAGAAACCCTGCCTCGAAACCCCACCCTACCAAAAAAGAATAACAACCAAAACAAAACAAAACAAACAACAAAACATTGACACCTTGTACTGCTTGCCAGAAATTGAATTAATTTTAAGTACAGCCTTGTAAGATCCCTATAGAACCTATGCAGGCAAACACATAAGGATTTGATACCCATACAGGGTAGGCAGGGCTTCTGTGGATTTTCTGCATGAGGCAGGTTAATTCACAGGTGGAGAGTGACAAGGAAGAGCACTGAGCCTCCCTTAGCTTTCAAGAAGAACTGATCATTATAGGTAAGAAAAAAGAACAAGGGAAGAAAAGAGGTCAGAAGAGAAAGGATGGTGGGTACCGAAGCTGGGGATTGGACAGTCAAACAGTGCTTGGTTGGTCATTCCTCAAGTCCAGCACACTTCCAACAGAGTTCTAAAATGTCTAGCATTCGCTGTCATGGAAGGCACAGATGAAGCAATGTTCACTTGCAATAAACCCTCTCTCCTCAAAAGCAGACTTCTGTGTGCCTAGATATGGGTAGATTTTAATTCGTCAAAGGAGAAAACCAGTAGGCATTTATCAGAACAGAACACCAACTGGAGCTTTGCCTACCTTGCAATGAGATAGATTTTAATTGACACCTGTCAGGAAGATGAGTTCCCCAAAGCTACTGTTCCCACCCAGGAGTCAAGCTTCCCACAATCACTTCCATAATGCAGGTTCCAGGCCCAAATGCACCTGCCTCAGTCCTGTGGGAATACCTTCCACACACATACCCCCAATCCCGTGACTGCAGTTAGATGGTGAATTAATGTTCTGTGTAACATGGACTTGACTGTGAGAACAAGGCTCTGACCCCCCAAATCCCAAGAGAACAGGAAAAATGACACAAAACATGGGACAGGCAGCAGAAGGCACAGAAAGACAAGGGAGTCTCATCCCTGTGTCCACCAGGACAGGCCCTTCACTGACACAGAATGGAGCTGTGAACAGACAAGGCAGTAAATATGAACATGCCCTTTCTTTCATCAGCAGATAAAACACAACACAACCTGGAGCCCCTTACAACAGGTTCTTGGCACAGACACATACATGGCTTAAGGGCCCCAAGATTTTTGGGACAGAAGCCATGGCACAGTTGCAGGCTATAGGCCAATCAGCATCTCTGGAGATGATACACATTCCAATAAGTCCTTCTTTGCCCTCACATAGCCCTGGCAACAAAAGCCTGTCTGAGCTCAGCTTCTTAAGTTAGTCAAAGTAAGGGATGTCTATAAAAGGGGTTAAAACAACTTGTAAATAATCAGTGCCTCCATCAGCAGGAAGAAAGTTGTTTAAGCGAACACAGGAGATTAACAGGTCTTTTTTGGACTAGAAACCCCAGGGGACCTTTTACTCATCTGTCCATAAATAAGGCAGGTGCCGCCCCACTATGTGGCTGTTGCCCCCTTCTCTCAAGAACCCATTTCGAATTCAAGTGTCTGGCTTGCAAGCACTTGGACTGGGCATTCTGCACTCTAATTGGGTTTTCAGAGCCTTCCCTACTCTTACTCTGCAGTGTGAGAGACACGGCTGTCTTAATTCCTCACAAGCGCAGAATGTGATCTAAAGGCACGGAGCCTCCAATGTGTGAGGAGAATGCCATGTGAAGTCCTGCCAGCAACAATGAACCCTGGGCTCAATCAGGACATCTCAGTATTCAGATTTCAGACGTAGTCAGCATTCTGGGTCCTGCCTGAGAACATCTAAGGCTGAAGCCGGCCCTGAAAAGCTGCTGACACCATAAAGGGATTGGGTTTCCACTAGTTCCATGCTCCTTCTGCTATAAAGAACAGACTTCAGTAGCCCCTCTCCAGAAGGGGCTGTGACCTCACCTCTCAGATCAGTCCTGTGGGGCAGGAGTGCACACAGCTCACTGTGCTAGCGGAGCAGAACACACATACTCTGCTCTTACACTGTGCACGTAAAACATGAAACAGAGCCTAGGCGAGCCAGTTAACACTTGAACACACCAGACTAGATTCTTGCTTACAGGTTTAAAAGAGTCACCGGGAAGATATCTCCAAAATGGGTCATTCCCAGGAGGCACACACAGAAAGGCTGCCTGTGGTGAAGCTGTCTGGTTCTGTCAGATCATCCCAATGAGTCATAAGCCCCCACAACCAGCCGCCTGCTGGAGGAGGACTGGCTGTGCCAGACAGGTGGCCTTATCCCCCATTTCCTCCTCTCCCTCGAGCACTCCAGGTATCTGTACAATCCTGTTTGTAAGTACTTTAAGAGCTTTCCAGAGATGAGCTTTTCAGTGGCGCTGCGTGCAGCAAAGACAACCTTGGGATTATGTGGTTGACAGAAAAACACACCAGCAACAAAAGGCTGCATCAGAATCCGGGCACCTGCTGAGAACTGGCACTGCATGCTCAGATGTAGATGCTACCAAGCGAGTAATCACAGGTGCTTTCCACACAGGGAAGGAGAAGGATGCCTGCATCTTTAAATTGGAAAGGGGAAGCCCTACTATAGGGCCAAAACCACCCGTGAGAGCTCAAAGGCACTGTCCACATCTTACCACACCCAGGAGAAGGAATGGCAGCAGGGACCTCAGTCTACCCAACCCAGATTTAAGTTAAGTTGGGAGCAGTGGACCCTGTGCCAACACAGTATTTACCTAGCTTAGTATGTGCCCTCAAATACTATTGTGCCATTTCACATATATAGTCAGTGAATATAACAAGAGAATGGCACACCGGTCATGTCACCCACATAGGTGGCTGTTTTTGAGGAGGTTCCAAGAACTTGTGGATACCTGAAACCGTGGTAGATGAGAACCCTAAAAAAATAAGTTTTTTGTCCATGTCCACGATTAAGTCTAACTTGTAAGTAAGACTGGTAAGCTTTTTAACAATGTTGAATCAGGCAAATGAACTATAATGAAAACTGTGAGATCATTGAACATCCTCGGACCACGGCTTGCACGAGTCCCTGAACCTGCAGGTGAGGGAACTGTACTCTTAGCTTTCTCCTGGCAGTGTGGCCCCAGCAGAGGGGCAGCTGGGCACTTACCGAGGACTCGCTGTCCCTAATGAGAAAGTCGCCCTCGACGCCCCGCTCATTGAGCGCGCACTCGGCCTGGTGCCGTGTCACGTTGCCATAGTACCACTCACGACCAGCGAATCGCCCGCTGGCTGAGGGCCCGGTGTAGCTGATCTGTGGGGTGTGCGCGGGGTGCATTGCAGGCCCATCACTGAGGACCACCACATAGTTCTTGGGGACCAGGCCCACCTGGCCCCGGGCATTTTTGCATTTCCACCACTCAGGGTCGTTCTCAGGCTTCTCAATCACCTCCATGGTCTCCCCCTTCTCAAAGCTAAGCTCCTCCTCAGTGACGGAGCTGAAGGGGTACAGCGTCTGCACCACGTGCAGAACCCGTGCTCCTTGCCCATTGCTCAGAGCGGCACCGCGACGAAGGCTCAGGAAGCTGGGGGCCTCAGCGGCAGCTTCATCTGCCTCCTCCAGCACGTAGTTGGAGGGGAACCAGCCGATCTGCCCATTGAAGCTGCCGCGCCACCAGCCATCGCTGCATTTTTCCATGACTGTGACACGGGAGCCCTTCACCAGGGAAAGCTCATCCTCTCGTTCAGCTACGTAGGCGAACTTGACGAAGGCGGGGATGTTGAGGTCATAGATGCGGTCAGCACCGCTGCCATTGGCCGGGTACTCCGCATCAGTGCTGGGCGTTGGGGATGCATCCCGAGCGCTCGGCTTCCTGCGCGTCTTTCCGAGGCCTGTGAAGACATGGCAGAGGGCTCAGTTGGCACTGGGCACATGCCTACTCCCTACGCTATTAGGCATGGAAGTTCTCCCGCCCAGGGTGGGTGCATAAAGACTGGTTACAAACGACAGTTACCAGCTGGAAAAGAAAATGATAACAGCTGTGCCGCAGAGATACGAAGTTACTAAAAACTGATACTTACCCATAAACAAATGCCAATAAGTCTATGATACAAAGTTAACAAGAACAGAAAAGTTCTTCTGGAAGGATGGCCAGTTTTGGAGAACCCTTGGGGCTCAGGACTGAAAATATAAAAAAAGGCAGAGAAGGTGCCTGCAATTTTGCATGGGTAAGAAGTTGGACTAAATGACTGTAAAGACCGTGGCAATGCTACAGGGGGTCAGGTGACCACCAGAAGGGCTGTACCCTGCCCTGCATCCACTTACCTCCCTCCTGAAGTTTGTAACCCTGCTCCAGGGCTCCTCCTCATTGTTCCCCTGATGAACTGCCCTCCTAGTACCTGCCTGCCTGCATGCTGGCCCTTCTCATTTCCTTCCCCACTTCCAACGCATCTTTGCTCACAGAACACTGAACTGGTTTTTCTACAACAGACTGACAGAGCGAATTAGTAAAAGATTCGCTGACATACTATGTCCAAGGCAGGACTTTGAAGTTCGTGGTGGGTAACCTGCAAGTGGACCCCTCAGGTCAACTGAATGGGCTTCAAAAAGCCGACGGATGGAGGAACGTCTTCAGAGAGCATCATGGTTAGCCTGTACACACTTTCTTCAGCCACACGTGAGCAAACACTGGCCTGTGATGTAAAACATACTCCTTTCCATACACCGAGGGGGGGTGGGGGGGCGGGGGAGGGGAGGTGATTTTGGGAAGCCCTAACCTAAGCATGCTTTTGATCCAGTTAAAATGTAGAACCCAAAAAAATTCTAGGGGAGGACAGCATGTTGGCTAAGAGCAGGGGATGCACCGCAGGGGGGGGCAAAATTTCTCAGTTTTTCAGGGAACACTCTCCCTTCAGCTCTGCTTGGAGCATTTTGTGGAGCCCGTGGCAGACTCCCCTCTTCCCCAGTGACCTCCAGGGGTAGTTAAGCCCTCTCATCTTTAACCTGCAGAATAAGCAGGCTTTGCCCAGCATGCAGGTCCAAACGCAAGGGCTGTGCTACATCATCCCCCATCATTCAGCGGGGCCACCAGGCCCAGCTCAAAGCCAGGAGAATTTGAGGCAATGCAAACTGGTCAAAGTGGATACACTGGCCCAGAAAGGTGACAGCATGGATCACATCATCTGATTCAAGTACATGGGGACATAAGGGCAAGTCAGAACACTTAGGTCAAAATTTAGATCTCTGTTCTACTTAAGAGTCATCTTGGCTTGCAATCCCAGATTCAGTGCAATCCTCAGTCTTCTCTGTGTGTGTCATAGCTCTTGTGCAAACAAGTCACACTGGGTTAGGGCCTTTTTTCCTTTCTTTCTTTCTTTCTTTCTTTCTTTCTTTCTTCCTTTCTTTTTTTTCCTTCCTTCCTTCCTTTTCTTTCTTTCTTTCTTTTTGTTTTGTTTTTGGAGGCAGGGTCTCTCTGCGGCTTTGGAAGCTGTCCTGGAACTCTCTTTGAAGACCAGGCTGGCCTCGAACTCACAGAGATCCGCCTACTTCTGCCTCCCGAGTGCACCACCTGGCAGACCTAACTATTCTTAATACTCTTGTTTTAATTGCTATTTTAAAGGCTCCATCTCCAGATAATCCCACTTTTGAGGTGGGGTGTGTGTGTGTGTCAAGATTTCAACATACGGATTTGGGAGGGTTTATTCTGCCTAGGGCATCTAAGTTCAGACAAAGCATATGAAACACAGAAGTTTTACAGAATCAAGGTGTTCTTAACTGATTAAGGGTTTTGGATCTCTCTGATCAGAACAGTAGTTTGTCACAAGAGGTCAAATTCCTCTTCAAAGATTCTTGGCCACAATCCCAGTGATGCCAGAAGGCCAGAGGTGTAGAAAGCCTTATGGGACTTGGGCCTCCAACACCAGGTACTCTCATGGCAGCTGCTGGGACAGAGCAATCCAAGAGGCAGCTGTATAAACTGTGTGGTGGTGGGTGTTTTAATATCCTGGCCATGGATGTTATTCCAACCCTCACAATTCTCCCCAAGCAAGTGGGGAATCCAAAACTGGGAGAGATGGGGGAACTGGACAGACATTCCTAGACAGTGATGTGGCATAGATCAATTAATGCACCCAATCATAGCATATTTCATTCACAATAGGCCAGATGCCCAACTCTGTCAGAGCAAACTGGGGTGTCAGTGGTTCCTTTTATGGTAGAAATGGAAACAGTTCCTGAGTCCCCAGTTAGAAGTAGGCAGAGCCCCAAGATTTTAAGATAGGAGAAGTAGCATGAATAATGGGTGAGGAATAGGGTTAGAATAGCAAGTGCAGACAGGCTGGGGCGGGCTGGGGAGGTGCTGGGTGGGCAGAGTGTGCATGGGAAAGCCATTTGGGGTACTGAGAAGGGGGCCCACCAACCCACTTTTCTCCACTATTCTCCTTGCCCTGGACCTGCCCAATGGTAGGACTAGAGTCATATGAAATAGAAGGGACAAGAAACCTTGAATGTTGGCACAACAAGCTTTAATCTGCCCCTCTCTCTCTACTGCTGAGGACCTCAAGGAGAGCAGTGGTGGCCTGGGGTTGGAAGCAGCAGGGAGCTGGGCAGCCATAGCAAGATGGTGTTACCTCCTGTGTGAGGACCCAACAGAAACTGCAATCCCAGGTTCAGGCTAGCCTGTGACAACTCCTAGCCTGCTCTTCTGGCCTTGACTGCCCTTTGTGACAAGGCAACTCAGGAGAAGAGGAAGGGAATATATTGGCTGCCCCCCTCATTCACTCGCTGTGTACATTCCCACTTCATTTCTTCTCTCATTAAACTCACACCACCTGTCTCTCTTGTAACAAAAACACAATTTGAACTCCAATATGTGTTGGCTATTTTAATACAGCACTATGACTTTTCTCCTAGAATCTGACATATTTTCTCAATGAGAGAGGCAAGCCATCACACTTATTTCTCAAGGACCCAAGCTATAAATTTACCAGCTATTAATAGCAAACCCATGTAAACATGTCAGATGACAACCCCTCCTAACCAGCGTGTCTGCTCATTCCGTCTACACCACATGTAGGGACCTTCTAGTGCCAGCTCCAGAATCCTTCTCACTAGTGTCCCAACAACCAACTCCTGATGCAGGCACCAACAGTGGGGTTCCCTCCTGATACCCTCAGTACACCCCACCCAGAACAAACATGCCTGGTACCTGCTAACTTACACTAACCCAGATATAGTGTGCATGGTAGTCTCTACCAAACTCTGCATGGGAGGAGTTCAACAACACATTCCCCTTTCCAATTCTCATGCTAATCACAAAACCACCCCTCACAGAACTAACCAGAGGGTGTGATCTTTGCAGTTGGGTGTGCTGTCACAGCTTTATTTGCATAAATCATATGGATGAGAATATCTAGAACAAGCCCATTAGAGACTTTCCAACTGCTGGCAAGCTGTGTGTTGGGTCAGGTAAAGTATCATGTTTGTAAAGCAAAGTAATGGCTTTACCTACAGCCTATTCAATAATGCATACACTGAAACACTTTGGCATGGGGAAAAAAGAAATAGAACAAAGAAGGAACAGAAAATCCCAGCAAAAAATTCCCAAACGAAACACTTGCATGACGTTGTTTTCTAGGTCTTCAGATCGAGATTTTTAACATCTACACTGAGAAAATTCTCAGCCTTCTGAAATCTATTACCGTTAAGAGTGTGGCAGTGGGCTGAGGGTAGCAGAGCACTTAGCATTTGCAGGGCCCTGTGTTTCTGTCTTCCGAAAGAAAAATAAATCTGTGGCATTTACAATTAAGAACCCTTAGCGGCCCACACGGACAATAACTTGATGCTACATAATACCACGGGTTACACAAATTCATCTCCTAAGTTCTGGAAGCTGGAAGTCTAAAATCACAGAGCTGACAGACTGGGTGAGGTCCCACCCTGCTTCACAGCAGTGAGAATGGGGCCTCCCGGTGGGAAGGGGAAAGCAGGTGTCCCTAAGGCCTCTTTAAAAAGGACACCGATCCGCCATTTTTGAGGCCTCTAAGGGGTCCTACACCTCCCAAGGGGGGTGGGGGGTGGAGCGAGGTTTGAAAGCATCAACTGAGACAGAACACAGATACTCGGGCCACAGCAGCCTGGCCAGTATCTTTTGGCTCCTGCTGTGGGCAGTAAGCCCTGAGTCCTGTTGTACTGCCAAGAAGACTGAGAGGTAAGTGCCCTGTTATTTCCTCCCTACAGCACCTCTGAGCAGCTACAGGGCTGTTTCCTCTCCACAGGGCCCTAGGCAGGAGGATCAACAGTATGTTCAGCAGTTGACATAGGTTTCAGAACCTCAGAAAGTCTGACTGAACCACCCGAGTTGTCCCAGACCAGGCAGCAGCCCTTCCTGGCACAAAGCTACCCAAGGCAGGTAAGGTCTGCCAGCTATAGAAGATGACCAAGCTCCTAATGAAGCCACCTCTCTAGAGACCTAAAGAAAGACTAGCCACAGATGGTACCATAATGTCACCTGTACTCGATACAATGTGCACTGTGGAATTGTATTTTTTTTGTCCTGTGAGCAGATAGACAGCACTGTTTAAATGGTTAGCAGGTGAGTTGGATTTAAAGATGGGCTACACTTTCCACTTTTGTGATGATTTTTTGGCACCAGGTGTAAGTGCTAAGGTCCTGAGCTACGTTTTTATTGTTGATAATTTTAACTTTCCTGAATAAAATTATATACACGAAAGACTGAGTTCTAATAAAAGTTTGAACGTGTCATACATTATTAATGTCAGTCATTTTAAAGTCGAACCCTTTTATGCACGCCCTGACGCCTGAAGATGAAGGCTGTTAAAAGCAAACACCTCTGAGACTTGCTCTGACTGTCATCTTCCAGCTGGAGCCCTGC